TTCTTATATTTGCTGAGGCTTGCTTTGTGCCCTAGGATATGATCTATTTTGGAGAAGGTTCCATGGGCTGCTGAGAAGAATGTATATTGTGTAGAGGTTGGATGAAATGTTCTGTAGACATCTACTAGGTCCACTTGATCTATTGCATATTTTAGATCTTGGATTTCTTTATTGAGTTTTTGTTTGGATGACCTATCTATTGATGATAATGGAGTGTTAAAGTCTCCCACAACCACTGTGTTGGCGTTTATATATGCTTTTAGGTCTTTCAGGGTATGTTTGATGAAATTGGGTGCGTTGACATTGGGTGCATACAGATTGATGATTATTATTTCCTTTTGGTCTATTTCCCCTTTTATTAGTATGGAATGTCCTTCTTTATCTCGTTTGATCAATGTAGGTTTGAAGTCTACTTTGTCAGAGATAAGTATTGCTACTCCTGCTTGTTTTCGGGGGCCATTGGCTTGGTAAATCTTCTTCCAGCCTTTCATCCTAAGCATATGCTTATTTCTGTCGTGAGATGAGTCTCCTGTAAGCAACAAATTGTTGGATCTTCTTTTTAATCCATTTTGTCAAACGGTGTCTTTTGATGGGTGAATTAAGTCCATTAACATTAAGTTAGTACTGATAGGTATGTGGTGATTCCTGCCATTTAGTTTCTTAGTTGTTTGAAGGTTTGATTGTGTGTACCTAACTTGATGTTACTCTCTACTGTCTTGCTTTTTCTTATCCTGTGGTTTGGTGCTGCCTGCCTTTTCATGGTTAAGTTGGGTGTCACTTTCTGTGTGCAGATCCCTTGCAGAATCTTTTGTAATGGTGGCTTTGTGGTCACATATTGTTTTAGTTTCTGCTTATCATGGAAGACTTTTATTGCTCCATCTATTTTGAATGATAGCTTTGCTGGGTAGAGTATCCTGGGGTTGAAGTTATTTTCATTCAGTGCCCGGAAGATCTCACCCCACGCTCTTCTTGCTTTTAATGTTTCTGTTGAGAAGTCTGCTGTGATTTTGATGGGTTTACCTTTGTATGTTACTTGTTTTTTCTCTCTTACAGCCTTCAATATTCTTTCCTTAGTTTCTGAACTTGTTGTTTTAATGATGATATGTCGTGGAGTAGTTCTATTTTGATCTGGTCTGTTTGGTGTCCTGGAGGCCTCTTGCATTTGTATGGGAATATCTTTCTCTAGATTTGGGAAATTTTCCGTTATTATTTTGTTGAATATATTACGCATTCCCTTCGCTTGCACCTCTTCTCCTTCTTCGATGCCCATGATTCTCAAGTTTGGTCTTTTGATGGAGTCAGTGAGTTCTTGCATTTTCTTTTCACAGGTCTTGAGTTGTTTAATTAATAGTTCTTCGGTTTTTCCTTTAATTACCATTTCATCTTCAAGTTCTGAGATTCTGTCTTCTGTTTGTTCTATTCTGCTGGATTGGCCTTCCGTTTTGTTTTGCAGTTCTGTTTCGTTCTTTTTTCTGAGGTTTTCCATATCCTGGCAGTTTTCTTCTTTATTGTTGTCTATTTTTGTCCTGAGTTCATTTATCCATTTATTCATTGTGTTCTCTCTTTCACTTTGGTGTTTATACAGTGCTTCTATGGTTTCCTTTATTTCTTCTTTTGCTTTTTCAAATTCTCTATTTTTATTGTCTTGGAATTTCTTGAGTGTCTCCTGTACATTTTGGTTGACCCTATCCAGTATCATCTCTATAAAATTCTCATTGAGTACTTGTAGTATGTCTTCTTTTAAATTATTCTTGTGGGCTTCATTGGGTCCTTTGGCATAGTTTATCTTCATTTTGTTGGAGTCTGGATCTGAGTTTCTGTTCTCTTCATTCCCCTCTGGTTCCTGTACTAATTTTTTGCTGTGGGGAAACTGGTTTCCCTGTTTTTTCTGTCTTCCTGTCATTGTCCTTGGTGTTGTTACTGTCCCTGTACTGTGTGTAATTAAGTATTTTCTAGCTTGTAATAATAACAATGGTAATATTTAGAATGGAAGAGTGAGCTGAGATGGAAAGCAAGAAGTTAAAGAAAAGGGGAAAACAAATATACAGACAAGAGGGAGAAAGCAGAACAAGGTATCAGACAAGAGAGTTTCAAAGGTATAAACAGGGAGTGTTAGTGTACTAATCGACAGTAAGCTGAACAGACATTAGAGAGACAGAGAGAGGATTGAAAATCAAAGATAAAAAAAATAAAAAATAAGTAAATGAAAGTAATATCTATACATAAAAATGAATTAAAATAAAATGGAAAATAGAAAATTAAAAAAAAAAAAACCAAAAAACTTCCAAGTTTATATGCAATGCAGTTTCAGTCTTAATAATTTGGTGTCCGTCTCAATCTCCAGTCCTGGAGTTGGTGCCTCAGATGTTGTTCTGTAGTTGTCTCATCAAAGGGGATGCATAAAGTAGAACAAAACTACACACACACACACACACAAGAAAAAAAGCCCCACCAAGTGTCCCAGTTCAAATGCAATACAGTTTCAGTAAGTTTTTCGGCTTGCAGGTGTAATTCGGTTGTTCTCTCATCAAAGGTAGGGAGAAAAAGAAAAAAAAGCATCTGGAGGCAGTTCTGAGAGTGGTATCTGCAACTGTGGCTAGCCTGCCTGCTGCTCTCAGCCTGTAGCTGGCGGCGTTATTTATGCAGGTCTCTGGGGTGAGCTAGCACTCACCTGGTCCCACAGGCTTTGTTTGCTCAGAGTTCTACTGTGCGGGTTCTCTGCTACAGGATTTCCCCTTTCCAAGCACTGGGAAAGGTGACACTGCACCCGCATTGTCAGGCCTGCGTGTTTATTTCCAGTTCATGTGGGAGGTGGGTCTTCCCCCCTCTCCTCTGAAGTTTTCCTCCCACTGCCACTTTCAGAAGCTTTCCTGCTCCTGCTTACTGGGCGGTGCTGCTGCTCCTGCCAGCCGCCATGTTTGTTTACAGTTCACGTGGGAAGTGGGTCTTCCCTCCTCTCACAAGCTTCCCTTCTCCTGGTTGCTGGGTGCGCGCCCCGCTCCACCAGAGGCTCTCTGGCCCGCCCGGCTTGTTTATTTACAGTCCCAGGAAGGATTCCCTTCCCCCAATCTTCAGCGCTCAGGGCGCCCCACCCTCTTTCCAATGTGTCTTAACTGTTCTTACTGCTTATTACTCAGTTTCTCTTTTTTTTTTTTTTCCGGGTGGAGGTCAGTCTGTCCAGGGGGCTATGCTGCTCTGGCCCAGGCTTGTCTGTGGGGGAACCGCGGTACCGCGAAGCTCACCTGGTCCGCGTCTTCCCAAGCCGTATGGGCGCTGGCCACTGGCGGCCCCGGGGCCCTCCTCGTTTCTCCGTTTAACGTGAAGTGGAGATTCTCTGCACCGGCTGGAGATGTGGAGGGGTCAACGTTATGCCTTTTCTCAGTGATTATGCCTGCAAAGTGTGTCTCCAGCGTCTCTCCAAGATTTCACTATAGGAGAGTAGCTTTCTGCTTCCTACCTCTAGCCGCCATCTTGGAATTCCGGAGAACGGGTTTAAGATGTGCCCTATGTTTCTGGATGGATGAAAAAGCACTAGCTGTGGTGTAGAACACAGTGTAATTCCTGGAAAGCTCTGCCAAGCTCTTGTACCTTTCTCATGTGATCTTTTTTCCTGAAACAATTCCTTTATTTGATGGGAGTCAATCAAATCTTTCAAGTGTCACCTCATTATCACCAGTCTGGACCACAGACTGGAGAATTTATGTATTCCTTATGGATATTTCTACCATAGCACTTATTACCCTGGTATATAATTGACCACGTCTCCATCTGCCTCTCCTATCATGAAAGACATTTTAAGGAAATGTTGATTTATTATTCACAAGTTTCAGTTTGGAAGGAACAAATTCTAAACATCATAATTTAACCAGGACTTTTCAAACACAGTAATAGGTTATTATTATACATTTAGCATTATATTTGTGAAGGTCATACTAATAAAATGAATGTAAACACAGGATTACATAGTCCTACTACTATGATGCAAATAATAATAAGTCAGTATCTCAATGTTCAAATCCATTTACTGGTTATAATGAACACCAGTGTGGTCAATAGCTCTAGACTTAGGCCTAGAAGAGTTGAGCACAAAACTGGGCTCTAGCTACTGGTGGGTGATCTTGAGCTAATTATTTTATCTCATTGTATCAGAATTTCCTCATATATAAATCAAAGAGCAAGTAGGATGGGTTTTGAAGATTAAGTAAATTTATACGAGACGTGATTAGCACTGCACTTGGATACATTATGTAGTAATAAACATGAGTCATCCTGAGGAACACTGATGAGTGAGTCAGAGCTGCATCCTAAGTCCTTGGCGTCAGTCTCAGGAGTTTCTGAGTTTCATCATTTTTAAAGACTCTTCAAAAACATGTTCTAGGTAAAGTCACTGGTACAGACTTCACTGTGAATGAAGATGAGCTCTGACAGCAGGGCCAATGAGCTTCCACCGCATGGAGATGAGTGAGAGCTTCCTAAATACACATAGGTCTTTTTTTTTTTTTGCCAATTCTAACCTGTCAGAATGATCCATATTTGTAAACATAAAATGATGACAATAAACTAAATATCCCCTATCAAAAGCAAGCTACCCTTTAAAACAGACTTGTCAGGGAGTGGGTAAGGTGAATGAGGGTGAATGTGGTGATGTATTTTGCATGCATATATGAAAATAGAAGAATGAAACCTGTTGAAATTGTTCTAAGAAGGGGGAGGAGGAAGAATAATGGAGGGGATAAATATAACTAAGATATGTTGTAAGCACATATATAAATATCACAATGCAACCCCCTCTACAACTGTTACATGCTTTATTTTTTATTTATTTATTTATTTTTAATTTTTTATTTTATTCATATGTGCATACAATGATTGGGTCATTTCTCCCCTCTTCTCCTCACCCCCTTGTTATATGCTTTAAAAAAAAAAAAGATTCAAGTTAGAAAAAAAAAAACAAGGTACCCTTAACCACCTTGGCAAATTAGGAGTTGGTAAACTCTTACCTTTTGGGTAGATATCTTTTAGAGGGACTTCTCCTGGGGGCAAAATCCTGACTACCTGATTAGTATCTATAAGAGTCACACAATTGCTCTGTCTTGGAGTTCCAGTTTTCTTCTTCATTCCATAGAATGCTACATCAGTGACATTGGGTTTATTCAAAGATGATGGCCTCTTCCAAGAATAAACTTCACTGGGTGACTGAAAAAAAAAAAAGAGAGAAAAAAGAGAGATTAAGGTACCAAGCACAATATACTACATTCAACACAACTTTTAAACAGATACCAGTGGTAAACTTATGTTTCATAGGTATAAAAAAATCAAATTATTCCTCAACCCTTTTGAATTTAGTGCAGGAGATGACTCTTTATCAATAATTTTAATTTCTAGACAAGGGTGAAATATATGGGTACATTTTTTTAATTCTGAAATAAATTGCAATTAAAAGAGAGAATATAAAGCAGTATAGTTAGTATAAAAGTAGTATTACCACCACCTATGCAGCTAATGTTTCACAAAGGAGAACTATAGCCAGGATTTCTGAAACATTTGGAGTTTCCCTTTCCAGTCACATGGCTCTGTCTCCTCTAGACTTAACTTTTTTGGAATTTTGTATTATTTTTTTCTTTGCTTTACTTAAAAATTTTCCATATATATTTGCCCTTCCCAAGATGATAAGCTGCATTTTTCCTGTTTTCTCTCAAAGTTTTAAGGTGTTATCTTCTACATTTAACTAATAAGGAATTTATTTTCTGTGAATGGTGTGAATAGGGACCTACATTTACCCTTTCCTCATATGGACAGCTTATTGTCCAAACTCCATTAACCTTTGTCCACAGATTTGTAACATTGCCATAAAATACAGTTCCATATATGCATGCATGTGTTTCTGGACACTGCATTCAGTTATATTGTGTATTTTAATACTGTAGGCCAAGACCAAAGGCTTTAGTTACTATAGTTTTATAAGTAGCATTGAAAGTTGGTAGATAAAGTAACTTCTTCAGGAATGTCTTGGTTATTGTTTTCTCTGGCACTTCCATAGAAATGTCTGAGCTATATTGGGGTTTTTTGAGACAGGGTCTCTCTATGTAGCTCATAGCCCAGTCTGGCCTAGAACTCATGATCCTACTGCCTTAGCTTCCTTAGCACTGGCATACAGGCATGCATCACCATGCCCAGCTGGCTTGGACCTCACTGCATACCTGAGACTGGTCTCACATTTGTGATACTATTGCCTCAGCCTCCTGAGTGCTGGGATTACAGATGTGTACTACCATACCTGTATACCTTGTCTTATTTTTAAGTGTGGAACAAGTTCTAGAGCCCACCCTCACCCTAGGTCTTTTACCTTATCTTATTTTTTATAATAAAAGGAAAGTAATGTTCACTATTAAGAATGATATTTGCTATGGATTTTAAAAAAGCTATTTGATATTAGGTTAAGAAAACTATACAAGTTTATTATAATTTGTTGCCTCTGATAACTGCATAAAAAGTTAGTAAGAGGTGACATACCCCTTTATTGATGTGAAGAATACAAAGAGTTCTATGAAGAATACAAAGAATTTCACATAGAAGCAGAAAGGTAGTGTGGTATGGTAGAGAGAACATGTGTTGGAGAGTTAGTCACACTTGAACTCAAGTCCCAGGTCCCTTGTATATGATACTTGTGCCCTAGGGAGACATGAACTCCCTCTGCTTCTGTTTTTTCATCTGTAAAACACTGTAGAATTATTATAAAAATTAACTATTATGTAACTTAGAATACTACAATGATTTACTGTTTCATTGGGTTCTAAAATATGATTGCTATCATAAAATGTTGAAAGGCTGTCTAGCTGACTCTAATCTTTCACTTAACAAATATTCATTGGACATCTCCTGTGTGGTAGGTCTCATACTAACCATTAAGGATATAGATTTCAAGTTAATAAGTTCACTAAGCTTACAAGCTATAAAGGATTTCCTCAGGGCTAATAAAAAGAGTACTTTACACTCAACTATTACTTTCTATCCTTTTTTTTTTATACAACACTGTATTTCCATACTAATTTCTTCAATTAGAATAAGCAGTAAGATCAATTTTTTAGGAAGTTCCACCTTCACAAAGAAGCTCCAAAATTTTTTTTAACCATAGCATCAAGCATTGTAGAAAGCATAGTAAATCCATCTCTTTCTGTCAAAGCTGCTATAGACAATGTGTTCCAATAACACATTTTACTTTGAGTTATATAAACTTGATAATTATGAAGGCATATGGCAAAGTCCTAAGCCACATATTATCCATTGACTTTTGTATTTCAAATGTCTTATATCCTGAAGCACTCAACATTCATTAATTACATTAAAATTTTGAGGCATATGGGACTGGGGCATTATCAAGCAGAGCCCATGTTTTTATCTTTAAATGATTCTATCATCATTTAAAGTGACTGTAGCTTTGTAAAAGCTACAAAGGAAATTATTAAAATTAAATGTTTCATCAGTAACACAGGGAATTGCTTTTAAGATTATTAGATGCCAATTTGTACTGAAATGAACTTTTTATTTAATTTCTCCACATTTTCATCAGTGGAAGATGGTGCCTAGTTTCACCTAAAGTCAATTATAAATATCCTCGATTTTGCAGATACCAGTGGGTAACAGTGGGAGGAAGGCCCCTTGAAGAGGAAAGGAAGTTGAGCCCCTACTCTTAATACTCACATTGACATGCTGCAGCGATAAGCTAAATCAGAGCAAAACTCAATGGAAACTTCATGAATGTTGAAAATTGTAATTTATAGTAATGACACCCTATTTAGCTTTTAAAAATTCCGTAAGATAAGCTACTTTATTAGTTTCACTTTATTCCTCTTGACAGAGTCCATGAATACACATTCAAATGACATGATAAAAGAAATCACCTTTACTATGTTAAGCATTAAGTGTGTCACATGAACTCCCACGTATGGAGAATATTCATCTCTCCTTACAAAATTATATCACTGCATCACACTTTAAATGCTAATTTTTAAGAGTCACGAGACTATATAAATAGAACATCTTTTTAGTGACTGATTTCAAATATAGGCTTGATTTAAAATGTTAATCAGAAAATTATTACATTTTAATTATCCTTCAAACAGGCTTACAGATTCTAGGTCAGACTGAGACTAACAAACACTTATGCAATAATTTTAAAGGCTGATGCTTACTATGAGATCTGGGAAGCCAACAACTATGGTAGCATAACTGTTCTCATCTGAGAGAATTCGGTTGGGAGAGGCAATCTTTTGTCCCACAGCTGAACTTAGATTTTCAGATGATAGTTGATCACTTGAAATTTTATGAGGTATGTTCACCTTCATTTCTGAAAAGTACCAGACAAACATTAGATATGATAGGCCCCTAATATGCTCTAGGAATTAATTTCTTTTGCCAGATTTCATTGTCAACAGTTTAAACAAAAAAGAACATGGTTAAAAAAAAGAGAAAACACTTTAAATGACATTCACCAGTTTTTGTCTGAGAAAACTCTGATTTTACCATCCAAGCATCTTCCCAAAGTGACTCCAAGTATTTATGGAATCAAAATTTTGTTAACAGTAAGTGTTACCATTAATAGTTCCCTGCATAAAAGACATGAAACTGACCTAACCCAGCATTGGCAATGGCATGTTTTAGGTTTTTTCATGAGTTCTATTCACTTCTCCAAACCGTGATGAATTAAGTAGAAATTCTAGTGGTGTGTGGAAAAAGAAAAGATGCTATCCTAACTTAGACTTGGAACTCACATGTAAGTAAAAATTATTATTTGTCAGTTAAACAATTTCACAGACAGGGTTTAAAGAGGTGAGCCTCTACATCATTATTCGAGAGGAGGTAGATTCTAATTTTCTACTGTTAGTGTAGTTTTTTCTTAAACATCACCTAGGCTGATGTCATTGTTCTTCAGTGATGTAGGGGACAGTAGGTATACAAGCATGCACCCACACAGCCATAAACACAGAGAACATAGTATTTACCTTGTGTAACTCCAAACCCAGTGCTGGGCAGCTCTTCATTCAACACATACAACTGGCAAACCCCACTGTCTGAAGATTCAATGTGTGCAGTCTTAGTTAAAAGGTATTTCCTGTAAACAAGCAAGACATCTAATTTGTGAAGTTTTCCTTTTTTTTCTGATAATCATCGGGGCAGACCAAGAAAAATTAGAGGTTTTTCTCCTCTTAAAGCCTTTCTAAAAATAGTCTGAGTATGATTTACAGTTTCATCATTTCATCATGGATTAGTAAATAACTTCTCAACACTATTGTAAATAGTAGTGTTGAATGACAATGCAGTGATAAATGCAATTCAAAAATCCAACATGTCCTGTTAGAGAAAGGAGTGTTGAAAGAGAATGGAAGGAAGGAAGGAAGGAAAGAAAGAGGGAAGGAAGGAAGGAAGGAAGGAAGGAAGGAAGGAGGGAAGGAAAACTCTAATGGGGCATGGATCAGGCAGTAAGTGGGAACATAACCTCTGATTCTGACCAGCTAAGGAGCACCTAAGAACCATAATCCCCTGGCTTTTTTTACTTTTAAGATTTTTAAAATGTGGATGTACAAATGGCCAGATGTTGTGGCAGTGAGCCACTGCTGTTTGTCAGCAGAAGGGTAGGAAGAATGTGTACTTAGCTTGTGGATGGAGTGTGTAAGAGAGGGGGACTAGTCAAGTGTCACATACTGCCTTTCATCAAGAAGCATATAATCCTAGCGAGGGAGGCAACACAAACATAACCACAACTATAACCAAATAAGAGCATATAAGATGAAAAGAAGAAACTTCTAAGGTGTGGACTCTGTGAAATTACAAAAAGGCAATAGCTGTAGGATGGAGACTGTGGCTCTCAGAAAAGAAGATAAATGAAAATCTGTTTTGAAGCATCCCCAGTTTGGTAAGAATACAGTGAATTTTCAGCATGCTAATAAGAAAAATGCAAATAAAATGGGTCATATGTAAAAATAATCACTTTTGCTGTTAATTTCAATGTCATTTTCTGAGAAAAGACATTTAATTTTCCCTTCCCCCATCTTCTTGTACCTCTCACCTATACAGATGCTGCCCCAAACGGAAATTGTTAAAAGACAGATACAAGGAAGACAGACCAGGAAGAGTGATGAATAATTGGTAAATGAGGTAGAACCACTGCATTCTATGAGATACTACAGGGAATAGATTCACCCACTGATTTGTTTTGCTCTCCACCAGAAGCCACTTGTCTTCTGCTACCAGGAAAACTGTCTTGAGGTTGATAGGAAGTGAGATGGTATGAGTTCGCCCTTCTAAAGCATCCAGTACAGTCAAGCTGTTCCTGTAAAAGAAAAAGAAAAGTGTATCTGGAAGGAAAAGGTGAGGATAATGGTTGAGTAGACATAGCATAATCATTTCATGATACATTATGCAATCTTAAAAAGAATGCTTTTAAGCCTAAGTAATAACATAGAAAAATGCTAACTGAGAAAACAGACATAAAATTCTAAACAATATCAGGGTATGCATGAGAAGAAATAATAGAAAATGCCATATGTGCTATGGAATTACAGGCACTGTCTTTTTTTATGTCTGTTTCCCAGTGTTCTACACTATCAGAAGAGTTTCTTTTATACTAAACCACTTATAAATTGGGTGCATTAGTTTTATACTATACAAGTATAATTAAAACAGAAAATAGAATGAACAAAATAAGGATCCCAGTTTAAAACTACAACAAAGAGCTCACCCTTTTTCCATGTAGAATACTAGCCAGTTTTTGTGCGAAAATTCTTTACACATTTTGTAAGTTCCTAAAGCCAAAACAAAATATTCACATTAAATGTGTCAGATGTAGTCATGTTTCTTTAACTGCTTCCAGTCAATAAAGTTCTTCAATGTGTAAAATACCTAACGCTCAGAGAAGCTGTATATCCATTCCAAGACTCTTAAGGTAACATGGATTCACCTGTTTCAAAATTTACTGAGAACTCTGTACTAAAACCTCTTTAGAATAAAAAATTTAAAAATAGTGCCAAGTACTGCTTAGAAATAAACATGCTATGTGATGATTAACCATGGAAGTTACATCATAACAGAAACAAATAGGAAACTGTTTGTTTTCCTAGGTCTGGATTCATTCATGACACTTAAAAAAAACCTCTTTTTCAGTCTTTTGAGACCTAAGTATGTTATTTTGCTGAACATTGGACAGACCTTGTTTTATATCTGAAGGGCAGAATAAGTTCTCCCAGCTGGACTGCAGTATTCATTTATTAGTTTATTTAATAAGCTTAAATATTTAGTTAGAAGGAGAAATCAGGTGCCATACTCCTGATTTTAACATATAAATCCAGGGCATAATTTCATAATTGGAAAATAGGTTAAGTTGACTGCATGATTAAGAATTTGTTATGAAAATCATAATCAAATAGCTTATAATATTCTATTATTAGTTCAGTTCTGGCAATCTACAGGTCAGTATGATAGATACCAAAAGAACCTATTGATTTAATTGTACATATATCTTTATATAGCTATAATGTGTCATTTCTTGTGCATTATAGTATAAAAAATTAAAGGCACTGAAAGAAAATTACAGGCATGGTAAGAAAATCTACAGAAAAGCTACAGGAAATCCTTGGCAATTTGCTGAACGAATGTGGTACTCCTTACTCCTTCTTCCTTGTTCCACCAGGAAGATTTCTTGGAGGTCACCTCTTCTAAAGGTAAGATGAGACGATGAAGGGTTCGGCCAGTGGTGTCTAACAAAAGGATGACATTACTCTGGAAATAAAGAAAACAGCATCAAGTTCAAGATGTGTTCTTTTAAGAAAGCAGCAGTATCCAGGCAGCTTGGGAGTGAAGGTTATAGTGATATATCAAAGGGAAGACAACAATATTGAAATACTTACAACATATCATGAAGACACTTAGGGATTTTTCTTAATGTAGAACTTAAAGTTTTGGTTGGTTTTTGAAGTTATTTCTAGCTATATATTTAAATAGCCTTATATTTGAAGATTTTTATCTTAAATCATTCCCTTCTATATAGAAGCAGATTGATCCATGATTCTGTTTTATTACACATTAACGAAGAAAATAAGATTGATTTTTTTGGGGGGGTTGGGAATGGGGTCTAAACTCAGGGCCTCATGCTTGCAAAGTAAAGATTGGTAATTTTTTAAAGTTTATTTGCTCTTACCAATATTACACTTAAGAGAATGCTCTGTAGAAAACTCTCTTACATGATGAAAAGTTAAGTATTATTTATCCTTTCCACAAGTCTAAGTTTAGTTTAGAAAATGAGTCTATGATTGATATGGGCTAGCAAAAAAGTATGAAGGACTCCAAGAACTTAGTTTATGATCTTGTAATTCACTAAGCTTGAAGAACTTTCATTACTGTTGCTGTAATAATACAGAAACAAGAGATTTCTTCAGTATTATTGTGCAATGAAGCAACAATCTCTCAGTCATTAGGAGCTTTTTATTTTCACAGAAAGAAACAAACCTTAAACATGCATTTCAAGAACTTTCTTTGGAGAAATTAAAATCACAAAGCACCAAAGCATCAATATAAACTTTGTAAAATACAGAAAACAATAAAACATAGTATCAGTTGGGCAGCTTAGTAAGCACAAAAGAGAATACAACCATGAATGAGTCATGGTCCTTGCCCTCTGCTATATAATCTGGTCAGAGAAATAAAAATAAACATAAAAATATTAATGGTTCAGCTGCAAATCTAGCACTTTTTAGTGTGGTTTCAAATTTCTCTTACAAGATAATTTTATTGAAGTGCTCAAGAGCTAAAGCAATATTTGTACCACATGGTTTACTTTACAACATATACTCTGAATCTTGGCTATATTAAAATTTTTTCTAAGCATGTTAACAAAACTTTTAATTTTTCCACAAACATCACCCCTAAAACATATCATTTTGAATGTACTATTAATGGTATATATCAGAAATATTTTTTAAATTAATAACTAATATAAAAAGTATTATTCAGTGGCATTTGAAGGTTTTGAAAATAGAAGTGATAGCTTAGAGCTTTTTTAATGAAAACCTGGAAATAAGTTAGTTTTACAAAGACTTCATTCTAGATTAAATCTTTTAAAATTACTTTTTCTTGAGAAAATTTTTTCTCAGATTATGAACATGTACAACATTGACATAAATTCTTAACATTTAAGCAATATGGAATTAACAAAGTCCTAAAATAATGTTTTCTCCTAAAAATGATCAAATGGAAGAAAAAGCAAATAAACAGACATGATTAAACAGGAAAATAAGCTAGTACTGTTTTCCATTTGTCTTCGTTTTTATGCTCTAAAACTTACATGCTCATAACTTGGCCTAAGTGAACTGAAAAACTATCGTTTTAAGTGACAGAAAACATATATGTATTTCCAGCCATTGCTGTATTTAGAATTAGTTTTATAAGCAATTGGCAGCATGAAGGAGTTCTGTGGCTCTGTCCTTTTAGATGTTAATGGTTTCCTTCTGTAAATGACTAATGATGTATTCTGTCTGAGTTTAAAAATAGACTTTTTCGTCACACATGAGTACATGTAACTGGGACTTTCGTGCTGCTTTAAGGGGGTAGGAAGGAAAAGCAAGTGAGCGATTTTATTATGTTTGCATTTGACTGGGAGAAAAGTAACCTCTGGATGACCTCCATGTCCCCAAGTCTGAAACTAAACGCTGTGCAGATGTAATAAATAATCTCATGGCAGGGGGAGGGTCTTTATTTTTAGGCACAGCAAAGTTTTCCTTTCCTCACTTAAGATTCTATTTTAGCAAGGAATTTTTGAAGAACTAATCAGGAGAATGTGTGTCTGTAGCAAAACTTTATTTTAGAAAGACCAGGGAAGGTTGATTCATGGCAATACTCTACAATATTTGAGCTTCCTTTTCAGTTCAGACAGAATGAGAAAGAAAGAAGAATTGATGGCAGTCTACTAGTTTTTTATTCTACTAGAACTATGACTATTTGTTAAGTTTCACAGCGCTGTGTTGTTCATATGGAATCAACAGGTTGGACATCCTAACTAGGCCAACCTATGAATTAGTTGGCTAAGATAACCTCTCTGGGGATAGGGAAAGATAAGGGAGATGGAGTTTCAATTCTCACCCAAAGTTGATTAATTTCCTAAATTAAAATTCACCAAGATATCATGTGGTTGTCTGTTGGGAATCAATAAAGTAAGACCCTTATTCCAATTTGCTGAACAGAAACTTTAGTAAGCTATATCTGAATGTGGATGAACTTGGCTTCTAGTAGAAAGTGAAGGTAGAAAGCCATAAAAACAAAACCAGGAAAAAAACTTGGAATTTACAATAATTACTTAGGCAAGACTAAAGTTAAAGCTGATTTGTTTCCCTTTTATTTATATAATATATTCCTCTTGATTAGATATAGTCTAAAATATTGTCTCTTAAAAGCACTTTGCTTTTCAAATACAGGTAACAGCACTGCATTTCTTTTATACTTTCTCATTATGAGTTCTTTTTCAGACTATAGTACTCTTTTCACTAAAGATCTGTAATGAGTGAGAGAGCAGGCAAAGTTTAATTCTGGTGGGGTCAATGCAATTTGGTTTGAATGTCAGTACTATGAGGTATTTGGTTAAGTCACTGGGAAAGTGACCAGGCTCCCTAAGCCTGGTTTTCCCTTATGTAAATGTGGCTAACAGGACATGAGTGGGCAGTTGGAAGCCCAGAGAGATAACACATATAACCTCTCACTTGATACCTTGCATCATTTAACAATCACTTTTCCTTGAGACTTTTATCACTTGCCTTCCAGGATACCTCCCCGCCTGGTTTGTCTCTCTACTTCATCACTAGCTACTCATCCTCCTCCCTGCTATGGATTCTCTCCATGTTATCTTAGTATTTTATTGTCCCAGAGCTTAGTGCTTGGTCTCTTCTCTACCTACATCACTCTTGTGGTGACCTCTTTCAGTTTCATAACTGTATATGCCAGGGACTTCCAAATTTTATTCCCTGTTCTGACCTCTCCATTGAACTCCAGTCTCATCATTTACTTGGGTATTTAATAGACACCTCAAATTTAATCAGATGTTTTCTGAGTTTCCCTCTGAAATAGATTTCTTCCCTATATCACTTGATTACAACTCCATTCAAATTGCTCAGATCCTAAATCTTGAAGTTGCCTCTAGTTCTCTCTCATCACACACAGCTGCACTGTTAGGAAATATTGGTTCCACTTTCAAAATATATCCTGGATCTGTCACCATTTATGACCTCCACCCTCCTCCAAGCCACCATTACCTCTCACCTAGATCATTACAAAAGTCTCATTCACAGTCAGGGCCCAGAATCTTTGATGACTTTCAAGGCTTTACATCATCTGTTTCCCACTGCCCCTTCTACCTCATCTCTGCCTCAACCCACTTCTTTATCTTACCTCTTCTTATTCTCCCCCCCCTTCAATCTTCCTTACCACACTTCTTTAAAGACCAAGAGTCATGTTCCAGCCTCTGGGCCTTGGAACTTACCATTTCCTTTGCCTAGAACTGTCTTCTTCCAAGTGTCTGTTCTCTTCACCTCCATCAGGTCTTTGTTTAGGCACCTCCCTTTTAGTTAGGCAATCATTGTCTACCTATTTTACATTGTAATCCAACTTTCTTGCTTCTCACCTCTAACCTAAGATATAATTTAATTACTTATTTTGCTTATTGTTTATCTTCCTGCACCAGATTTTAATGTTTTGAGGACAAGAATTTTTGTTGTTTTGTTCACTGCAGTATTCCCAATAGTATGCCCAAGATACATATTCATAGAATGAATAAAATACTATTCATTCTTAATACTTGGTAGACATTAGGCAGATAGGAAGTATATAAAAACATTAGACTACTTTCTATTGGTATACTACAGAGTAATTAGAATTTTCACTAATTGAAGCATAGCCTGTTTTTTGATCTATATCATTTGTTTGGAACTGCTTTTTAGCCTGACTCTGGGCATCTGAGCATTAATAATGCAATCTCAATACACTAATCCATAGAACCTGAGGATCATTAGATACTGAAGGATCTCAGTTTACTCCCTTTGGTGGATTTACATGGCTGTTTCTTTATAAAGTATGTCATTTAAGTCTCAACTGTCATTTGCTCAATGGAGATTTCTCAGCACTCTTTTTAGTACTGTTCATCCTCCTGACCTATCACTTCCTTAGACATTACCCTGTTTCTATATAGCACTTATCACTACCTGAAATTACCATGTTTATTTATTGGTTTACTAGTTTGTTATCTGTCTCTCCAAAGAGAGTGAAAGCTTCACAACAAAGAATTATGTGGCCCCAGCTGTCAATGGTATTGAGGTTGAGAAACCCTAACTAGCCTGTTTCCTGACTTACAAGTTGTATTGAAGTCTCTACAGAGACAATGACAGTAGCTTCCATTTGTAGTGCTGACAGAATATAGTTATTGACCCTTCCCTAGTTCCTCTTCTTGAACCTTATGAAGGCACATATTTTCAGTTATAGGTTCCAAATCACTATTGCCTTTTTTTCCCACATGCAAGTTATTTTTTCCTATAATTGCAGAATGTGAGGAGGCTGGTGTGCATTACCTGCTCTTCATGGAGAATAACTTGACCATTGAGGGGACTTCCCAATGGTGCCACTGTCACAAATGGCTGCCATATTCCACTGGTCATTCTTGGGAAGACATCATAAAGGTCCACAAAGAAGCCCTTTTTTCCAGTCATATTTATAAAGTATAAGGAAACAGGATTGCATGCAGCTACATACAGAGTATTTTCCTCACTTTCTGAAATGACAAAAAGGTGTTAATTTTATGGTTTGTAACCAATTTTTTGATTGGTTATGAGGTCTAGTGAAAACTGAATCATGAGATTGAGCAGAGAACTGAAATTCGGCAGATGTCTATGGATAGATTGATGAGACTGAGAAGACCATGAGAAGCAATGGAGTCCCAACATCAATGTGCAGAGAATCATGCATATATTCTAGGAAATAGGAACCTATTTTCTTCCCAAAGAATGCCACAACATCTCATGATAACTTCATTAAATAGTTAATAATCCTCAAAGTTAGTAATTATTCCTTCATGCCAACAAAGTGCTTTGTTCTCTAATTAAGATTTGTTTTCTCTTTATCCATTGATTTTTTCAGAAGCACAATAGTTTTCAACATCTTCTATCTGCCAAACTTTCATTTTCTACAGTTACTAGGTCTTTAGGATTTTATTACTATAAATAAGGATTCTGCATTTAAAAATATTAGCCCTGTGGATTTTAAAACTTTTTTGCAGTGCTCAATGGAACCCAGAGCCTTGCAGATATACCTACCACTGAGTTGCATCCCCAGTTCAGCCCTCTGGATCTTAACTTCCAAACTTTTGTTCATATTTGAATATTTCTTATAAAATCTTTCTTTTCAATCTGGGTACTTGCTTAGGTCCATTTCCTGAGTTTTATATCACTGTTTCTTCAAATTTCAAATGCCCCTCAATCACCTGGGAGCCAATGTAAATGCAGATTCTGAGTCATCAGGTCTGGGGTGGGATTTCAGATTCTGTCCTTTCCAAAAGCTCCCAGGAGATTAAGGCTGCTGGTTTGAGGTCTTTCTTAAAGGTAGCTAGGTTCTGGATTAAATTTCTCCTAGAAATTTTTATGTGAGCACCTTGAGGCAAGGGATTAAGCTGTGTTTGTCTAATAAATACTATCAGTACCACCCATCAACCAGGTATCTACTTTACAGTGGTCATATTTTCTAAAACCAAAATTAAGACACAAAGTATGTCAGTAAGGTATATTTAAAGTTGGCACAATGCTAAAAAAATCTGAACTTTGTGTATGTGCATTCTGTATCTCTAATATTTTTATATGTGTGCACAAAATGTTATACCCATATTATCTATAGATCTATATGATAAATATTAGGTATAAAGACATAATAAATTTAAATAGGTAAGCTAGCATCAATAAGAAATATAGCCATCAACAGAAGGGTTGAAGAAAATATATATTGTTTGATATTAATGTATTATTTAATACAAACTACGTGTATCATAGTTCCAAACATCGATAGAACCACAGAATTTATAATTTATGGACCTTTTAAATACTTCCATTATGAACACAAATACGTTCAACATAACATTTAATGAGCTCCTTCCTACATAGCATAGGGCAATAGGAATCCAGTAAGAATGCAGACAGAAATATACTTCATAAACTTAATAATGGCTCTCTCTGTTCCAGGAATTAAGTGCCATTTGGTCTTTGGATTAAACACATACAAACACACACACACACACATATACAAAAACACACAAAAAACACACATATATACACATAACTCTGATTCTCTTTTCTCTCACAAATGCAGACTAGGTTAAAAAAAGAAAATTAAAATAAAAAACCCAAAAAACACTAATTAGCAAATGTGGGTAATACTGAAATAGGAGGGTTAAATTATATCTGAGATAGAAAATGAGTTACATTTTTCAGGGCCAAATCCTATTTATTGGCAGGGCTGCCTGGGAGGTTGTACTGAGAAGAACAGAGAGACTGTGAGTAGGTTTAAAGGGAAAAGTGCTGTGATTGATTTGCTGCCTACCACAGGTATTGGCAGAGGTTCACAGTGTGCCTTACTATTCACAAATACGAGAAAAGGGCCAAATTTCATAGAATCCCACACTTTCTCTTTACTAGTGATTGCAAGATATCTTAACAAGAGCAAAAACAAACAAGCAACAAAAACCCTCTAAATATCTTAAGGCATACCTTTTCTCAAAATAGCTGCCTTGGGAAATAATATCAGAACTTTTGGAACAAAAATACAATACTGGTTTTTGCCTCCCCCTGCCATGCCACTTTTGTTTGCATCACCTTAGTAACCGACATCAGTTGGAGAGCTTCTGCCAAAAGGAACCCAGGGGCCACTGCATGAATTAGTAGATAGTAGCAGCAGTCCAGAATGTGGATGCCAGCATTTCACATTCTTTATTTGTCATTCTTTACAATGAAAATTTTAATGACTGAGAATCACTCCAGCCTTGCTTTTGTGTTCATGCAACCACCAAGCTGGAATCCCAGCCCCAAATCCAGTGTTTCTCCTTTTTCTTTTTCCCTTCTATTTTTAGCATATGCCTGGGTATGTTTAACTTTGTGCTACAATTGTAATGAGAAACAGACATACACATACAAACTCACTGGCGCTTATGTAGATTCCACAATAGCATTTTGCTGGGTTATTAGAGGAAATTAGTTCTAAATTATATATGATTGCTATCTAATCCACCAAGTCACCAAGTCTTTCATAGAGTTTTTCATGTGTACAAATTAATTCCTCGTTTAAAAAAAAAAATCAATGTAGAAAAGATCAAAAGGATAAACTGACATACCATGTGATACAGCAACGTCACAGATTAAATTAGTTTCATCCAGTGGTAACCTCCAGGAAGCACATTCTTCAGTAAAGTTTAGGGCTCTTTTTTCATGTTTTTCTATAGGATATTCTTGTATGTTTATAAGTACTGGGCCCTGCAATAAAATAATTATCTGGGTTAAGAAGTTTGGGCAATTGACAAAATAAAGAAAAGCTAAAGTTCTTCTATTACATTCTGATATTTAATATCTTGATATAGTCCTAATTTTGTTAGGACTAGTCCTTATAACAATAATAATTCCATATATGTGCTATCTCATTTAATTTCTTACCTTCTTTTGTTTTTACTCACAAAATATACCAGATATCAAATCCTATAGGATTTCTCACTACTTCATTTCTTGCTGAGACTGTTCTGAACTCCAAATATGAACACCCAGAGTTGTTCAACCCAGGAGAATAATTTATAAGTTAATAAACCAGGGCCTAATGTATTTCCATTGTGAAGAATGATTTTTATATTGCTATATAGAACTGTAATGGTTGAGTTTGGGTCTTTTAAATGAAATGTGAAAAAAATAGTAATATTTGAAATAAAAAAACAAACATGGATAATCACTACCGTTTTATAAAAGGTAGAGTATTTCACACAAGATAATTATTCAGTAAACATAAGCAGAGGAACTAATTTAATGTTATGAATATTAGTTCTAGATAATTAGACATAACTTCCTGAAGAACTTTATAGATGTAACTAAAATTTCAATGACTTGCATACTTTACAGTTCTTAATCAGAAATATTTGGGCTAGGTATTGGTATCCATGTCGCCTTCCCTTCCATCTAGACTGTATCTTGGGGGCTGGAAGAGTAAAAACTGCATTCCTCATACACTCTTGAGAAATCACTTCAAGAAGTGATTTAGGTTTTGCCAATTAAACACAATTGCATGAGATCTGCAAGGCAAAAGAGAGGAGGTGGGTATCTTCCTACAGCCATAGCAGTCAAGGAAGCAGACAAGTATGAGCAAAAACTCTATGCTGTACTTCAGGGATGACAAACTATGGCCCACAGGCCAAGTCTGACTCCACTTCCTGTTTTTGTAAGTAAAATTTTAGTGGAACATTGCCATGTACATTTGTTTACATATTACCATGGCTGCTTTTGTGTTACAATGGCAGAGATGAGTAGTTGCAACAGAATCTGTATGATTACAAAGCCTACGATATTTACTTTTTGGCTCTGTCTTCCTGTGCATTCCCACAGCAGCAGGGATGTACAGAAACATTTACCTTGAAACTCTAAGTCAGTGTTGCCCCCTGACTTCTGTACTTACAGCCCTTGCTGATTTTACAGGCACCTAATTTTCCAGTGTAGACTCCTTTCAACCAGACTGATTTGAAAGTTATAGCAAAAGCTAAAAAATAGTAGAACAAGTCATTTCTGAGATTGTATGAATTTTCTCCAGAAAAAATTGTTAAGATTCAGTATTTTAAGAGAAAATAATGAGGATATCAACCTTTATGTCTATACGATGAGTTTCTGCTGGACACAAGAGTTTTTGCATTCCATTTCTTGCATGACCAATTGTCCAGTAGCCCATAAATGTCTGCTCTGGCAGAGGCAACCTGTCAAAGATGATTGGAAAAGTAAGGGTTTTTTCTTATTATCAAGTCATAGGGGAAAATGAGTCATATATTACCAGCCATACAAGGAAATTTGAAAAATGCCTTACTTGGAAGTGAGTTATACTTGATTTTGTTTAGACAGACTACAAGTCATGTTCAGAGTGTACATTAAGATGAAAAAGACACTACATTTCAGAAATTTCAAAGGTAAGATTCTCTCCCATTTTTACCTTCATGACAAAAATAATTAAGATAAGCATGCTTTTTCCCTAGAATTGATAAAATATTTAGTAGCATAATATAATTTCCTGGTAGAGTATAGGAAGCTTTTTAAAAATTGGAGAGATCTATCAAATGTTTCAGTCTGTTCTTTTAAATTTGGAATCACCAGTATATATTACCACCAGGCCAATGTTGTAAGTTGTACCTGGCAAGTTTCATGCACTTCATTTTGGCATCTTTTTACCCTTTGAATTTATATGCAATGTACACAGAGAAACTTTCACATAAATGTGTCATTTAGCTCTGAGCATACCTGTATAACCAGTAACGAAAGTGGAAGAACACCAGAACTCAGAAGCCCTCTTAGGACCACCTTTCTTCACTAACCCCACCAAAGAAGCTACTTCCCTGACTTCTAATAGAATAATTTTGTGTTTATTTTATTTTAAGCAAATTTTGGTTTGTTGGTTTTGAGACAGGGTCTTGCTATATAAGCCAGGCTGGTCTTGAATTCTCAGTTTTCCAGCTATGGCCTACTGAGTGCCGGGATTATATGCGCCACCACACCTGGCAAGAGCAACTTTTAAATTAGATGATTTACCAAAGCAATGTGGCAATACAAAAGTATAAAACTGCAGACAAATATAAAGAAGTAATGTCTTTACTTCTTAGTCATTCTTTTTACTTGAATCCTCCTTAAAAAGAGGAATGATTGGCTTGTCATTTAATCCATTAGAAATTTCTTATTTCATGATAAGTTAAGGCAAAAAAAATGACTCAGAGTTAAACGTTTTCTAAAAATAATATGCATGTGGCTACAAATTAAAATATGTGCTTGGAATGAGTTTAATGATCAGTAAGAGAGTGCATATTTGTATTTATAAATTATTGTATTTTCAGTAAAGAAGTAGTCTGATATTATATTTCCATATGCTTAACGAGCCCACAGAGGGCTTTGATTATTTTTTTGCATTAAATAAGGAACTAAACATTCTGGTGTAATATTCTTTTAGTCCCTTTGAGATGCTAATGTTTGACATAAAAGTCAATTTACATAAAAATTCTTCTAAGTCTATAACACATATCTCTCAAAAGGACACTTTTGAATTTGTAATCTAAAATGCATTTTAAGTATCTGAACAATTACTGATTGGGTGACCCACTTACTTCCATGTTTTTACTGAAAAAGAGTGGGTGGGGTGCTGAGTTAGGAGACCGATTATAATGGTGTTCTTTTGTGATGTCATAGGGTCAGTCTTCTTGACTGGGATCTCTTCTAGTTTGAGGTATGAACTACATTGTTTATTAGCTCTCATAAGTTCACCAAAGGTGCCCTGGTAGATAGGTATGTTTTACTAAAGTAAATAAAAGAAGCTCTAAACTTGGCTTCTTTGAAAACAAGAGAATTTGTTTCTTTGAAGACAAAAGACAAAAGAATAGTTTCACATCTTGAAATCTAATTTCAGATGGAGAACTGCTTAATAAAAATGATCCTGGGTTGATACTCAGCATAAAAAAATGGATCTTGGCTGGGGATGTTGCTCAGTGGTAGAGCATTTGCTTAGCATAAGCAAGACCCTTGGCTCAAGCACTGCAGAAAAACAAAATCTAATGTGTCTATTTATTTTATAAAAATAACATTCAGATACTGAATAAGAAAAAAAAAACTTCATTCATTTGAGAAAGTAACTTTGTTCAATTTCCAGTTTCTACTGACAATGCCAACTCATTCTAAATAGCAGTCATGGAAATTATAGGCTGCCTAGCATATATAAAAATAGCATAGACTGGCTGGCAGAGTATGGGAAGGACCTTCAGGTATTCCACATAGAATCAACTCCAGAACCACACAACAAGATGCTATTGGCAATGGCAACTCCTACTGAAGGACACATACACAAAATGACTCCATCCTGTTCCCTGGTAACATGGAGTGTTGTCTCCAGACTTACTGTGGACCCTCAGCTAGCCAAATGAGGTAAACCATAAACCCTCATTTATTTTCCACTACTATATCCTCCCAATAAGCTGTGGAAATTTTGGCCATTCCTAACCTGCTCTCTTTAGTAAGTGAGTAGTCAGGAGAAGGGGAAGCACTGTATTCGGTACATAAGCAAGCTTTGGAATTTGAAACATTATCAGCAATAATTTGGGGTAACTAAATCAATAACAGTTAGCAAAAGGCCTTAATATTCCATTACTGAAATCTGACATTCAACTCTGACCAGACTTAAGTTTTTATACCTGATTTGAATGAAACAATAATGGCATTTTCCATGGTTTTAAGATCCTGTCACTTGTGTTGTTTAACTTTGTAAAGTCCTAGCTGAAATAATGTCTGGATTTGATTTTAAGGGAGGAGGAGGATGAACTTAAGGCCTATAAATAACACTACTTTTTATTTTCAGTGTCATTCACAAATTTATGTTTTTTTATAACAATGATGTATTTCAATTCATTTGTTGTGATGTTTCTTAATCCCTTGTGGAAGTAATAATAAGGCCTGGGGCTAAAGTTTTAACTAAAAGAAAGGTGACTATCAAAATTACGACTTGGGTCAAATTACAGTACTTGAACAATTACAGAAAGGAAAAATTTTTTTTCCTAAACATGCATAGAATTCATAACATGATGCATATGGACAGCAAAGTCAAAGTAACATTGTCCGAATGACATTCAAGACATTCATCTCAGACTGCGTCCATAAAGAGGTGAGCTGGGGTTTTTAAAGAGTATGTTCTGGCAAATTTCTGCTTTCTCTGAACCTTTGCCAATACTATTTCTGGAATATGAAAGAAAACACATGAAAAAGATTTGAATCTTTCTAGGGGCATTATGCAATTGGAAGCTGTTGACATACCTATTATCAACAATCCTAAAACATTTCCTCACCACAAGAACTGCAGTCTTCAGGGAAATAATGGAATCCTGTAGGGTAGTTCTACCAACTCAAAAACTCAACAATTACTACCATCTTTGAGAAGAAAAAGAACGATTCCAATTTTAGAGGACCTCACTCATTCCTAGTGTTTTAAATCTAACCTGCCAGAGGTTAGATTTAAAATCAGGTTGTCCAACTGATTTTACTGGAGACATTTATAGAATATTCTTGACAAATCCATCCAGCTTTGACTCTTCCCCCTTTCTCATACTCGCCAGCCAATCTGTGCCTTAGTCCTACCTTGCACTGTTCCTCACTAACCTGAACATTCTGTGCATTTTCATGCTTCCTACAGGCTGTTACCTTTTCTCAGAATTCCTTTCTGCAATTGCTCTTTTGGTGTGATCCTGCTCATTCCTCAGACCCAATCCAAATGTTACTCCCCTTTGCATTCCTCCCCCATATTCCTTTCTGGGAAGAATAAATCCCTTGTTCTTCTGAGTTTCCTTATAAATTTACACATATAAAATACTTAGAATAGAGCTCTGTAGAATCTGTAATTTTCAAGTTTAAAACACGAGAAAATTCACTTTTACAGAGAGCAGGTCAGAACTGAAGCCATGAAATCCCCAACAAATGTTTTTATGGGAAAAAAAGTCAGCACATTAAAGAGAAAATACAAAAACCCTTTAGACACATTATATTTGTATTAATGGGTACCACTATTAACTCACTGTAATATCCCCCCCTTGTTTCTGGAAACTTCATAATCTCCTTTCTCTGTTGTGTCACAAGTTGCTGGCAGATTAATTTTGCTTTGCTAAAAAGGATACATACATAAGTGTGTGTATATTTTCCCATTCTATGCCTGTTCTGCATTTAGAAATTGTGGCTTTCCCTATTCACAATAGCCAAGTTATGGAAACAGCCAAGATGCCCCACTACTGACGAATGGATCAAGAAAATGTGGTATCTATACACAATGGAATTTTATGCAGCCATGAAGAAGAACGAAATGTCATCATTCGCTGATAAATGGATGGAATTGGAGAACATCATTCTGAGTGAGGTTAGCCTGGCCCAAAAGACCAAAAATCGTATGTTCTCCCTCATATGCAGACATTAGATCAAGGGCAAACACAACAAGGGATTGGACTTTGATCACATGATAAAGTGAGAGCACAGAAGGGAGGTATGAGGATAGGTAAGACACCTAAAAAACTAGATAACAGTTGTTGCCCTCAACACAGAGAAACTAAAGCAGATACCTTAAAGCACCTGAGGCCAATAGAAGGGGACCAGGAACTAGAGAAAAGGTTAGATCAAGAAGAATTAACCTAAAAGGTAACACACATGCACAGGAAATCAATGCGAGTCAACTCCCTGTATAGTTATCCTTATCTCAACTAGCAAAAACTCTTGTTCCTTCCTATTATTGCTTATACTCTCTCTTCAACAAAATTAGAGATAAGGGCAAAATAGTTTCTGCTCTGTATTGAGGGGGTGGGGGAGAAAGGGAGAGGGCAGCGGGCGGGTAAGGGAGGAGGTGGGGTGAGGGGGGAGAAATGACCCAAACATTGTATGCACATATGAATAAAAAAAAAAAGAAATTGTGGCTTTCACGTAAGGTTTGTGTACTTCTGCACCCAGATCCTACAGAGGTCACAGACATGCAGAGAAATTTGCATGTGTGACACCTCACAGTTTTGGTGCTATTGTCCAGCGTTACTCTGGGCCAGAGCAGATGTCAGCTTGCTCTGCACATCTCTGGCAGTCTTATTCCTCACAGAAGTTTCCAGACTACAGTTCTGGACCTGGATTTCCTTTTCTTCAGGTTTCACTGCAAAAGTGTCTTCCTTTTTTCTGCTGTCTGCTTTCTGAACTGCATCGTAGTTTT